TGCTGTTTGTTTAACTTCAGCTGCCACTGGGATATGAGAAGYAGATAATGACCAAGGAGGTGAAGAGGTCCTGGTCAGAGCTGAAAAGATAAGAGCCATGTCAAGCTACTCTAGAAGTGACTGTATCCATAGCTATAAACAGTGGTGTCAGAAGGTGGGGGGACAGGAGCTGTGACTCTGTGTTGCTTGAACCCTTAGTGCTTACAGTGGATCTTGTGTAGATCAGGTGTTTGGTGCAACTGCTATGCATGCAATAGAGCAGTTCTTTGTGCTRTGCAGTGAGTCCACCATGAGAGTCCTTGGTCACTCTCTTACCATTTTCATCCCAGGAGCTATTTTCAGACCTGAGGTGATGTTACTCTGAGAGTAAAACAATTTACACACAAGAAAGGGCTTTGCCAAAATCAACAAAGCGTTTGGAGCCTTCCAGGTTCCCTGCACACAAAGGCTGACTCAGAGCAGTGACTCACGTCCAGGAAGCCGCCAGCCCGAGCCCTCCTTATCTGCCCCATATCTGGGGTGTGGGAGCAGGCGGTGGGGTGGGGTGTGTGCTGGTGGAGTGGAGCAAAAGTTAAATGTTATGGCAGCTTCCACTTCTTGGGGAAAGAACAGGAAAGTAGTCACCCCTTCTGGTGTCTCTTCCTACTGGCGCAGTTTTAACAGGGGAAGAATGTGAATGCTGTAGATCAATTAACAGTTGTACAGTAAATCTGTCTCTGATTTATGTGCAAAGTGTTGGATTAAATTTTGGAAGTCTCCCAAATGAGGAGGACTGTCACTGCCAACTCCTTGGTGGCTCTGGGCTCTGCCAGCCATCTTGCTGCTGCCCATGTCCCTCTCTGCACAGCATCCTGAYGGCACAGTGGCAAAAGGAGACCTTTCACTGGGGGCTTTTTGTAAAGAAGAGAGGTTCCGTGGTTCAAGGTATTACCAGTACCCCTAGATGTACAGAATCTTTTTCAGGCAAAAGATGCTGAGGGAAGAGGAGATGACCTTGTTCCTTGAGTCCTGCATGGTCTAAGGCATTGAGTACAAAGTTATTTTTTAAGTTTAAGTTGCCAGTATCTCTTCTGTTTGGCTTCCTCACTGCCTAGTGACTRCTTAGGTCTGTACCTGACAGTGGATGTTTTTAGTTTTAAGTGGCTTCATCTCTTCCCTGATCCTAGTGCTTATAGCCCAGGATCAATGATCTGAACTAGCTTCTGTCTGAATGATCTCTTCCAGCATGTCCAGGTTTAGCAATGAGGGTTTGAAGCTTTTGTTATTTCTTTATTATTCTATTATTATGGGCTGCCTAAGCTCTTGCTTGCTGTGAGCTTCCCATGCACCTGCCTCTCTCCAGACCTTCCTGCCCATTGGGTCACTTCCCAGGCACATTGCTAGTCTCTATGCAGACTGGGCTTTCCCCTCTCCTGCTTTCCCAGGCCCAGGTGAAGCCTGTGCCTGGAGAAATGAGGGTGGGGAGACTCTTCTTTGCCTGRGCTTTCCCCTTTTTTCACTTTCTCAATTCATGTTCAAGTATGTGCCTGGGGCGAGGGAGGGTGGTGATTAAAAGCAAACAAGCCCTTCCTTCCTGTGGCTGGGATCCAATGAGACAGATGTTCCTAGGAAATCAGGGCAATGTGAAGGTGCTGGGGCAGCCTGGGGAGGTGCCCCTAACCAAGCCTGAAATGAAGGTGTCTGGACTGCAGCCTGGCTCTGGTCATGCACATTTGGTGCAGGAAACATGTGCTGCTGTAGATACTGCTGGTGTTTAGCTGGTATTGCCCCYCACAGCCTGAGGGGGTTGTCCCAGTCCCACAGACGATGTGGGAGAAAAGGGAGGAAATCCTCACTGTGTGGAGCTCAAGCCAGCCTTGCTTGGTGCGTTGTGTTGGGACCAACAGCAAGAATAGCAACATCTGTGCTTGCCCTCAAAGATCCGTTTTGATCTCTTGATGTGCTGAAGCCTGTGGGAATTAGAAATTCGCTTATAAGTGTGCCCTTAAAATCCCACATCTATAGCAATGCTTGTGGAATAAAAGCGTATGCTATCTAATGAGCTCAGGTTTGTGAGATGTGTTAACTGTAGATGTGGCATTGATGCCAAGGGCAACCTAGGCATGGTGCTGATGGTCTTGCCCCGTCTCAGACATCTGCCATGGGCTGTGAACTGCTGAACTGGGCACTGGTGCCTGCTGCAAAACTGAAACAAGCCCCTGGGTTTGATTTCAAAAGTCTCACCGAAGAGATGCAGTGCATAGTATTTCTGTTGAGAGCGAGAAGGATTATGTGTGTTAAAAAATTTAGCAACCTTGCACATGGTTGCAGTTTCTCCAGGCACTTTTCTCTTCAAGTCCTATTTCTTCCTCTTCTTAATCCTCTGTTGAATATTATAATCCTGTGTTTATATCTCTGTCTGTTGCCATAGGAATAACTGATGTTGCTARCTAAGCTTGGAACTTCCTTAAGGGATAAAGGAAAGGGCTATCCCTTATAATTGTCTCATCTGTGTGAAAATAACAGGTCTCCAGATGGTTTTCTCTTCAAAGGTCATGAAACCAAACTCATCTACTGTAATATCAAAGGAGTTAGGTCCTTTCAGTGGTATTTCATTAGCTTTTTCTGGATCATGGGCCYAATGGTGCTTGCTTCTGAGTCTGACCTTCCAAACAGGTTTCAACTCTGAGGAAAAGGGGCTAAAGGAGAGTCCAACCATTCCTCTCATCAAAGCTTTTATTAGTATTATTACTTGTGAAAACACTTATCAGGTGGAAATTGGCCTAGAAAAAGTCAGTGGTCCCTTTTTGGAAGGGGCYAAAAAGTCCCTGTTGAAAGTTACTGCAATGACAGTAATTCTGTCATTGCTGGCCTGCGATTTGAATAAGTTACTGTCGGATGAGCTGGGCCAAAGCTGCCTTTGCGGGTTTGTTTCTGAAAGCTCTGGTTTCTGCCTACTGCACAGCCACTATTTTTTGCCTAAACTTTCTAATATCTTTAGCTTTACATTAGTTTAACTTTACATTCATTAAACTCCTAACCTGAAACCAAAAAAACTAAAATGATATCACATAGTTTGTGTTTTCTCTTATTTAGCTTACTGAAAAAGGTTAATTTTATTTAGGAGTGGGGTGACTTAACTGTCTCTCCCACAGTAGGGAGAAACACAGTGGGGTATTGTACAGAAAGATGCAAATGCACAAGGAAGTTTCRGGCACAAAGGGAGGCTGCTTTACATCCGCTCGGTGTGCATGCAGAGCTCAGGCTTGGTTAGAATAAGCAGTAACTTTTAAAACGAATTGGACGTTTTTATGAATTTGTAGCCTTTGCTCTACTAAATTTAAACAATGCCTGTGACTAAACAATGAAGTCAGCCCCATCCTCCAGGATCTAACGTATGGGTAACTGTATCTCCTGTATCCTTGCCCGAGCACCATCTCATAAGTCTTGGTTCTTCCCTTCTTTCTTCTTCCTTATCTGTTTTGTTTTCTTGTTTCTCAAGTGAAGTCCTATCTCTGATTATTATTTTTTTACAGTTCACTTGTTCCTGCCTTTTACTGTGCTACTTCATACTTCAATTTGCCTTTTTTTAAAAAGGCTGCAGAATCAGTTGGGGTTGTGTGTGTGTTTTTTTCTACTTTTGGTTCAGAAAGTCAACCTTTTAGCTGCAGACCTCCATACTTACTACAAAAAACACTTTCCATTAGAAGTCTAATTCTTTGCAGGGGCAACTAAATATCCCCTTTATGTGGGGAAACAGCACTTCACTTTTCTCAAGGTCACAATCTCAAATTGAAACAGGCAATACAAAAGACCCCTCAAGGAGCAGATTTTTCTCTTACACTAAGCTCAGTTTTACCCCTCATTTTAAAATTGTCTGCTTTGAAGCAATACAATGCTCAGAATGGGGAAAAGATAAAGAAAACGAGCAACATGATATTCTTTTTATCAAGAAGTGTTGCGCTTTTAGTGATAATTATAATTTCYGGATGTTCCTATTTTGTGTTCCTCCTCATTGCATTGTGAAAGTTTTAGAACAACATAGTGAATATTTCTCAATCCCTGGCTTTGCCTGAGCTCCTGCAAAGGGAATCCAAGATACCTGAGTCAAGGACTGATGCCTGCCTGGTGTACAGCAGAGGTTTACAYGGGATGAGGAAGCAGGACTGTGCTGGCAGAGGGGGAATGTGCAGTGTCTGTCCTGCTTGTCCCAGGTTTTGGTCAGAGAGGCTGATCCCAAGCCCAAGAATGCTGCTCTCGTGCAGTCTGTGTCCCTGGCTGTGCTGACCTGCAAGCATCCAGATGTCTCTATTTCATGTGTTGATCCCTCAAAAACAAGCAGAGGATGCTAGAAAAACATGTTGAGAATATGCTGGGGAGCAACAGTTGCTTTCTGTAACATTAATTACAGAGCTTCTTGCAGCATGCATTTTTATCTCTTTTTCTACTGGCCACTAGTCTGGGGGGAGAAGTTGTCTGCCAGCTATGTTGGAGAGAGAAATCTGCTCATGATAAAAAAATTAGGCTGAAAACTGCCAAGTGAAGATGACAAGAAGCAGAGCAGGCTCCTCTCCAGCCCTGCTTCCTGTTTTGCTGGGTCACAGTGATTTTTTTTTTTTTTTGGGTAATGTCTGCATCCAGACAACTTGAAAGCATCACAGCAGTGAGCAGGTCCGACGAGGCCAGGTTTGAGTCTAACTCTCCTTTTAGGAAGGGACAGATTTGTCCTTTCAAAATGTGAGGTAAGTGTGCAGCAAGGCTGTGACTTGCCCTGTCTTACTAATGCTCTCTTATAAAGAAAACAGATGTTAAATATGGATTTTTTTGAAGCATGGTATATCACTAACTTAACAGACTGGAATTTGGTTATAACATGTTGACTTTTAGCAGGCCTTTCATAATTTTTGGGACTTTATTAAAATATCACTTTAAATGCCCATAGTCTTTCATCTTTAGTTTTTCCTCTGCATACTATTAAATATGAAAATTTTATGATTTTATTTTTTTCTTTCCCTTTTTAGGCTTGTCTTTTTAAAAAGTAATTCTGGGAGAATCAGAAGCAAGTATTCACTGAGTTGATTAAAGTCAGTATTTAAACAGGTAAGGGCAGCAGTATCATAAAAATATGCAGTTGGAAGTGAAAACAAAGAGGGAAAAGTACATGTTGCAGACCTTGCAGTGGAATAGTGGCTTCATCGTGGAGAGCTTGGGAGATGCACCTGATGTGTGGATAGCACGAGGGGAACATTTGTCACCTGCCTCTGGGCTTTGCCTTGTTGTGGTGTCGCCCGCAAGCTCAGCCCTGCCCTGCTGCTCTTCTTGCTGCTGCGGTGGCTGCCACTGTGCTCCTGGCACTTGGATCTTCATGGCTGTGGCCTGGGAGGCTTCTTCTCTGCACAAGAGCAAAGTGTGAAGTGGTGCAGATCGGAGGTGGCTTCTGGGGAGCTGTTGAGGTGCTGCTTGATCTCTGCCTGTTGCACCTGAAGCTGGGGTTGAATCTCTGGCAGAGCCTAGCATGTTATCCCAATCTACAAGAGTTGTTCTGAATAGAGAGGGGCTTTTGTTTTCAAATTCACTTCATGTGGATTGCAAGTATAATGAAATACTGCAGTCATCTGAGTTTTCATCAATCACAATGCAGGAAGAAGCTGTGGCCTGACTGTCCTATCTGTGCATCTTAATGTTTTCTTTTTAAATTCCCCCATGAATTGTAATTAATGATCCTCTAAAGGAGCTGATGCCAAAAAATGTATTTCTTAATCCTTTTCCTGTTAAAGATGATAGAAAACCTTTGTTTAGTTTCTTTGGATGAGATGCCTTTTTTTTAAGACTTGCTTTTASTGTGTTCAGCGGGGCACTTTCCTGCTCTGGCAGCTGGAAGATGTCACTTTCCTGTCACTTTCCTCTTGCCACCCAGGAGTTCAGGGAGCCCTTGTAGTCATCAGGTCACACTGGGCTGTCAGGACCCCTGGAGCTGTCATTCCTGCACAGAGACCCTGGGTGAGAAACCAGCCTCTCTTCCTCAGGCTTGTGAGTGGCAGTTCTGGACACCAGCATCGGCCTCCTGGCTCTTCTTGCAGTTTAGCTGCAAGTCCTGGCTTAACTCATGTGGCTATGGGCTGCGTTGCCCTCCTGTAACCACAGCGGGTTACAGACTCGCAGGTGCTGGCTAAGGACACAGTAAGGGTAGAAATCCATTACTGTGTCAATTGTTTCGTAATGTGGGCTATAAAAGGTGCTCCAGGAAGCCATGCTTTGGCAGCTGCTGCTTGCTTTCTCTGGTATCCTTGGAGTGCAGGTCAGCTTATCCCAACAGGACCTTAAGTGACAGAAGGCAGGAAGGTGATTTCTAACATCCTGCCGAGTGGTTTCTGACAGCAACCTGCAAAGCATGAGGGAAAGGAATGGCAGGAATGTACTGAACGAGACTTGAGCAAAACTGAGCTCCTTTCAGTGGAAGCAACCGTGTAACTCTCAAAGCGTTGTGTTTCGGCCATCCCTGGGCTGGTGCAGGCTGGTGGGAGAGGCGCTGTCTGAGCACGTCCTCTGGCCTCCTGGAGATTCACCTCAACTGTGGCAATGCTGTAAGAGCTTTTGTGCCCATGCCAGATAAAAATGGGAAGTTTGTAAGTTTGAATTGTGTTAAAACACTAACTACTATGTTTTCTTTGATTTTTGTGTAGCTTTTGCAGTGGTGTCTGTCTCGCAGATGTAACTGCTGGTGGGAGCTGTGCACAGTTGCTGAGTGGGAAGAGATGAAGGCTGGTGAGGTCTCTCCTGCACCACTGCTTGCCTGGAAGGAGCTCAAACCGGCAGGGCTCCCTGCAGTGTTCGTGCTACCAACTTCCACTGCTCTGCCCACCAGCCTGAAGATACCTTCTGGGATCACCATTGCCTTAAACTTATTTTTAAAGTCCACTGCACACATACTTATGCTATTGGTGTGTGGAATATTTACTCTTTTGGGAAAAATGATGAAAGAATATGATTGTCCCATTCTATTTGGCACCTGAGTTCAGCTTTTGTCCCCTCAGACATCAAAAAAATTGAATAGGGTCCAGGCAAGGCCCACCAAGGTGATCAGAGTGTTGAAGGACTTGGTGTTTGAAGCAAGGTTGAATGAACTTTGTTTGTTCAACCTAGGGATCAGAAGGCTGGGGGGAGCTTATTACAATCTTCTAAAGCCTCCAAGGTAGTTTTAGAGAAGTTGCACATACCCTTTTCACAAGGATGCACAGTACCAGGACATGAGGCAATGTGCACCAGCTGCTTTGGGAGAATTCTCTCTAGATAATAGAAATATTCTTCATCAGTAAAAACAGCTAGACGTTGGACTAGGTAGCCCAGAGAAGTGGTGGACTTTTTTACAGGCAATATTCAGCTCCCTGGGGCACTGAATAACTTTAATGTAAGGCCATGCTTCCAAATGAACATTGAATRGGCTGTTCCAGAGCTTCTTTCCAACTTAGATCCTCTCCCATGGTGTATGTAAACCACTGAACTCCCGAAAGAAATTTCGGGCAGATTTATTTTGTACAGAGCTGAATTACACATCAGAAACTTATCACTGGGACAGGGTTGAGATGATATCAGTACTTTTAAAACGTTGCAATTTGGACTGATTAATGCTTTCAGTGCATGTTTGTCATTGGTTTCTCCAAGGCCATAAACTGGAGAAAAACAAGCCTCTTTCAATTAAAAATAAATAGCCTTCCTAGCTTCCATTTATTATTTTTCATATTGAGTTATGCAACAGATGTTTGTAGTGATTTGACACAGGATAAGAAGCATCTTTTCTCCAAAGAATTCACTGTATGGTGCTCAGATTCCTTCTGGCTTTTATTCTGAGCCTGTTTTAGGGGAGTTGTTCTGCTTTTTGCTCTTGAAATTGAAGAAGAGGTGTTGAATTTATCCGAGCCTTACAGTGTAAGATGAACAAATTGCTTTTGTCGTGGGAATGCAGCAGATTGCGTGCAATGGAAAATGGCCTGTAATAACACGAGAGCCTATATTTATTTAAGAACATTTAAGCACTTCATTTTTATATCTTAAGATGTAGAAAAAATAGAAGAACATGTCAAAAGCAAACACTACAGTAGCACATGTCAGAATGACATTCTACTAGAAATACTTGTCATGGAGGAATGCTGTGCAGTGTTGGGGATGAGCTGACATTTGGGAGCCTTGTATGGGCTTTACMAACTGTGGTAAGCTAGAAAAAAGGGAAAATTAATCCTGGGTATGTGACTGCCATACACTGTTAATGGTGTTTCTGGTGCTGTACACTGAAACTAGATGTGACTCATTAGAAATATGTATTTTAGTAGAAGTTGGARCATGTTAGGCTGATATGAGAAACGTAAAGCTGAAATCTGACTAGCAGCATGTAAGATATGCTAAGTAAATTTGCTTTAATTGGAGAACAAGTGCTGTAGTTGTGCACAGGCAGCTACTTCTGTCAYTTTACAGAGTTACTGTTTGCTTGGACGCAGTCTGAGCTCAGTGAGCTTTTCACTGCCATCTACTCAGTGAAGAAAACCTGGTCCCGTAGAAGACTTCTCTTCAAATTTTTTAGTTGAAGTTGAATTAGGTCTTGGATTGTGTTTTTATCTGTTAGACTATCTGTGAAACTTCCTTCTCTAAGCTGTAATATTAGGCAGAAGACCCTGAAGAAGCATGGTTGGAATTATGGGATTATGTTGGCAGGTTCCCTCTTTTATGTAGGGATCCAAGGTCCTCTGAGCTATTTGTGCTGGATATGTGTGTACCAAGATATGCTCTAGAGTAAATTAAACAGGCCTCAGCATGGGCAGAGGCCAGGATTTTCTGATCTGTTTCCAAGTGTGGACCAGAGGGTAAGATGCATCAGAGTTCAGGACCCACATGAAATATGGGAAAGATGTGAGCTGGTCAGCCTCAAGGATTGGCACCTGATGTGAACAGCAACAATAGTGTGAAATTACCCTCAGTAGCTTCATCATGCTGTAATGAATAAGCCAGGGTGAATATGAGCTGTWTTTATTGTATTTTCACTTGTGCTGGAGCATCCATGTGTGAAAGCGCATCAGCTGGCATGGTGGTTGCATGAAAATGCATCATAAAAATCAAATAATCTTTTACCAGTGCTAGAAAGCATTGTGCTGTACATATAACACTGACTTGGCCACTGGCAGGGAAGTTGCCTTCATCAGTGGCTACTTTATTACCTTAAATAAACTTAGCTGGAAGCTCCAGTGTCACAAAAACAAAGTGAAGTTCTTCATCTGGACCTTTCCCGCTAATGCCCTTTGCAGCTGTGTGCAAACTGTGCATCCCATCTCCTTGTCTTTTTTTTTTTAACTACTAAAGAAGAAAACCATAGAATGAAAGGGAAAGACAATTCTCCTCAACATAAAGATGTCTTTTAATGACGGGATACATCGGGGATCGTGTCCTTTAGTTGTGCCTGCTTTGACACTTGGTTGACYACTGTGTTTTGACCTTTCTCATGCAGAAAATGCTAAATGGGTCTGAGGGATCAGAACTTTTTAATTCCTGGGATGAAGCAAAGGTCAGAAAAATCCCATCACAAATGTGATATTCATTTCACAGGTTTTAGTGCTTTCAGTTAAGATTTAAAAATCATATCAGAGGCTAGACATGCATTTGTTCTCATATTTCTATAAATCTGAAAAAACCTTAAAGTAATATTGATTTTTTGTTTTGTTTCTCTGTTCTATCAATCCAGAATGCTATTAAGTATCAAGATGATGACTAATTTCTCTCCAGTGAAATATTTATGAGAASGAAATAAAAATATTTTTTGCTAGAGTGCCTACGAGGTTAGACTTGAAAGCCTTCCCCATCCTGTGCTGTACAATGAAGACTGACAATACCATTGAGCCAGGCTGGCACCCAGCAAGGGTYGTGCTGTCGTCTTCTCACCCAAGCCTCCTTAGATGGATGTTCTCTTTCACAGAGGAATGAAAGTTACTTTAGTGAACAAGGTGGATGAGACTCTGTCAAGTCAATCTTCCAAAGATTTCCAAGTTGTGCATGTCAAATAGACCCAATGAGAAAGACATTTTGCATATCATGAAATATTTGAATGCTCCCCAGATGACTGCCTGTAGTCAGGCTGTATCTTTGGACTCTACCCATGCTCTGGGGAAGAACTACCTTTGAAAGGGAGCRTGACAACAGTTTAGAAAAAGATGATGTGACACAATTTTTTAAAGTCAAGCACAGATTRGGCAAATTCCATTACCTAAAACAACCAGAGGAATGAAATACAAATATCTAATCTGAGAGGAAGAGACTGCCTTAGTAAAACTACCTTTATGAATAGAGATTAGAAAGAGAATGCTTTTAGTTAGTGCTTTTGCCCCTCTTTCCTCTGGTGTCTGCTTGTGTTTCTTCTTATTGCTCTGGTATTTTGAGCTTCAGGATTATTGCTATATTCCTGAAGATTTGAAAGCAAATAGCAGAGGAGTAATTCCAGACCTAATCTTATTTCTTAGGCTGAAACACAGACAGCCAYAAGGAGCTTTAAAGTCAATGAGAAAGACATTCCCTAACCTTAGTTTTAGAACTTTTTTACTTTCCTAACTTGTCCAGCCTGACTGTTGGCAGCTACCACTGTCTTTACTGAATGAGGTTTATCACTGGGATTGCCCACCTTAATATTTTCTATATAATATTATACATACTTTAAGTTCAACCAACTAGAAGCTTTGAACTCAAGGACTTGGTCTTAAATCCAGGATCAGTAATGACGGTACGTGACGCAGATCTCTTCTGCTTGAGACACTGAGATTCTGAGCACAAAACTAAATTAATGAACCTCTCCAGCTCTTTGATAGAAACTTGGAAGTTTAACTGTTGCACGTGCACCTTGTGATGTTTTATTCAGAAAATGTTATGTTTTTACCAAGACTGCTGTTATCTACTTGGTTTTCTGCAATCTGTTCTCCACGTGTACTCTGAGGCAACATGTGCAGAACTTGAACAGATTTTAAAATGTTGCATAGATTTTATTGAATTATTACTATTTGCAGTTTGGATAATTTTCTGCAATGTTATTTATCTGGAATGAATAAATAGCATTAGTAATGTATTGAAGGTTATATGACCTATTTTGCAACTGTAATTCGTTACTGTTGCCTTAAAAGTATCCCTGGCAACCCTCAACCAAATGTACAATTTACAAGGCCACTTTTTAAATCCCTGTTAGCCTATTGGCCAACTTCAGATTTTAATTAAAAATAAGTCTGGTAACATCCCGATGCATATCTGTTCATCAGACCGTGAGCTTTATTCTTAATGCTCATAAAAACTTCTTTATGAAGATTAAAAGTAATAGTTTGTTTTTCATTTAGCATCATAAAGCAATCATGATGTGAAATTTCATTGACTCATCCTAAGAAATGCAGCTCAATTAGCTTCATTTTTCAATGACCAATCTTTGTCCAGGGCTGCATTTGCAGCATTTGTCAGTTCCAAATTTATTTTTATGTGTTCATTTTTTTTTTTTAATTTTTGTTTGGGGAAGGTTGGAACATGCTAGTATACAATCCATCACTCTAGTAATATTTTTTTTTCAAAAAATTAAGAACATGTAATCTGCTGTATTGTATGTGTGTTTCTTTTCTTTCTTCCCTCTTTTTTTTTTTTTTTTTTTTTTTTTAAAGGCAATTCCACATTTGTCTCTATTTGACTTATTGAACATTTTTAGGCTTTTGTATCTTTGGACTGAACAAATAGTTCTGTGCTGTGGATCCTCAACATTGTTTTCTTACATCAACCAATGTTTTAAGCAAGTAGAGTCTCCCTGTGATATTAACCAGAATATTATCTGTTTGGGTTACAGGATTTTCTTACATAATGCACTTTGCTGTTACTTCCAGGGTTCGGCAGGCTTTTAAACAAATATTGTCCCAGAGCATCTGCAGATTTCGGTGTTTAATTTCCCCTGTTCTAATGTTTGGTATTTAGCAGAATGCAAGTATAGAAAGATGATCAATAGGAAAGAGAAGCAGCTTCATTAAACGGTGCCCTGCAAAAGCYGTGTATTTGCAATCAGTGGATTCTGCAGTTCCCTCTCCAAAAGAGGAGATGCAGAGAGCAGTAGTGATTTTTAAGGCACAAGCTGCTCTTGTATTTAATGGCATGCCAAAAACCTTGGGAGGTTCGTTGCTTGGTACAGAGCCGTGTGCTGCTCCGCACGGCGCCCGCGATTGTGGCTCTCGGTCCCAATCCTGCTCGTGGAAGAATTTGGGTTCCCAGAGGTGCTCTGGGATTGCTTTTTCTTTGACCTATATTGTTTACCTCTTATTATTTCACTGTTAAGTAATGCTCTTTGTATGAATCGCATCTACTCTGCCTGAAACYAATAGCAACTCTTTTGCAGGCAAAGAGGCCGTACACCTTAACACAGATGTTTAATAATAAATGTTAATATTTCACAAGTGAGGAACAGAAGCACAAGCCCGAGAAATGTAGGATACTCTCTCCGTAAAAATAGAGCCACTGAAAATGAAACAACATGCACCTGCCAGAATGAATCTCAATTTTAAGCAATTTTAAGYTACTGCCTTAATGATTTTCATATTCTAATCAATGTTCTAATAAAAGCTCTACTTTGATTTAATTAGGAAGCTTTTTTTCAAGCATTCTTTCTTCTTTCTTTTTCATAACTGARAACAAGAGATGCTAGGGCAGGGGTAGCCAGGAGGACACACTGAGGGACGGCAAATGAAGATACTGAATTGACGTTTTTAGGAAGGGTAAAAACAAAATGTGCAGGCTATTAATCAGATTGGCCTCCAAATGAACAATCTAATCTCTGGTCTGTGTAATTTCATTATCGATAAGGGCTCAAATATTTTTCCTCCAGTGTTTTAACAGCAGATGCGGGCTAGTTTGAGTGAGTTAATTGCGGGATTGTTTTTCCCGTTGCCAAGAAACAGACCGTTTTCTCAGAGCACACAGGGTGTTATGCTCACAGTCTCAGTGTCCCCGTGTTTTCTTGGAGGGTTTYGGAAGTCTCTGTTCTGGTAACTTAGCGACCTTGGAGAGCGGTGGCTTCAACCCAGGACTGCTCATGGACGGAGAGCCCTGCTAGGGACGAGCTGGTGTCGGACACGTCGAACACTGCAGGAGAAAAGCTTGTTCTTGTTCTGCACTGGCTTTATACCTTCAGGAAAGGGAATTAGTTTTTCRGGATGAAAAGGAGGAAAGAGATGTTTTAAACTATTTTTAAAGAGGAAGGCTTAGCAGGCCAAATAACGAAACAGCGAAAGGTGCCAAGCCAGRTACTGAGAGCAGCGAGTGCCTGGCGCTGCGGCCGCCCTCCGCGAGGCTGTTCCCAGTGCCAGSCAGCCCAGGGCAGCGCCCCGGTGTTCCCGGCCAGGAAATCCTGCATCGTCGGCTCATTAGTCGCATGAGTTAGGAATCATGATCAGCTTCAGGAGTTAAGAAAGTTCAATGGGATGGGTGAAGAACAGTCATTTTTTAAATTATTATTATTTTTTAATATTTATAAATAGCCTGCTTTGGAACTGAGATTTCTGGGTTTTTTTAATTAAAACACAGTCATCATTTTTGCCAATCATTGATGSCTCTCTCCATCCCCATTTCCATTTTCAGGATGCCCATGTGGGACATTTCCTTGTGCCTGTCTGGCTCTGCAATTCTATTCCACACTCTCTCYTCCAAGGCCCTAGGGACTGGCCAGGGAACAGTATCTTCCCGAAGTGTTTGACTTTCAGGTTTATTCAGCCCCTCCAGTCCTGCAAAGTTCTCCAAGAGCTGTTGGCTCTAAGGAGGGAGACCTGCTTTTCTGTCCCCAGCCATCAACCTTTCCTCATATTCTCTTTTCCTTAGAAAAGTGACTCAGTTGCTCCCTTCAGGTCATGCTCTTTTTAATTTTTTTCTTAAGTGCACTCAGGYGTCTATAGGCATCCTTTTTTGCTTATTGACAGACCTAACCACTRTTTTTTCTGGGAACTGTAATACTGAGTAGTGTTGCAGCTCTGAATTCACTCACCATATCTGTGGGAGATTTATTGTGAAGAACTGAGACAACTGAATGAGGCCAGTAGCTGAGCCTGTGTCTCTTTTGCTGAACTCCACACCAGAAACGTGCCATAAGGTGACCCTGAGGCAGCCAAACACTTGCAGCTGAACTCCTGATCTCCTGTATGGACATTCAGTCATGTCGAATCTGCATCACATCAACACACTTTGCTAGAAAACCAGTCCTTCTCTTAGAGGTGCTACCAGTTCTTATAAAGACCAGCGCCCTGGGGCATTAATAGCCTTTAACAGCCCTGATCATCCTCACCTGAGGCCTCTACCCGCCCTTGCCTGGGCTGTATTTAAGCTCAAAATCGGTCTTGCCCAGGGTAGTTTAATTGGGGGTTCTTGCTGTCATGTTGGCCCTGCCTGATGTGTCTGCATGGCCATGGTTCTGTCCCATTGCTGTGGATGTGCCTGGTGGTGTGGGCTCTGGGTGGCTGCAGCTTCCAGCCCTGGACTAGCTCTGCTCCCTTGCTCAGGTATTGCGGGTCTGCTGTGTGCTTTGTTGTCCTGGACTCGCCATCCCTGAGGCAGCAGCCAGCCCTTGCTATGCTGGTTGGCTGCCTGCTTGGAGAAGGCTGCACACTTGTGTCTGGTTGGCTGCATGCTTGGAGAATGGCAGATGCTTGCACTGACAGGTGGTGAACATGCAGCTACTTGGGTTTCAGAGCTAGGACAAGAGAAATTTTCTTTGGGTGTGTTAGGTTTGAATAGGGTTCCAGTTGTCTTTAGTGATCTCTTTCAGGTCAGATCTCTTTCAGCTCAGATCTCTTTCAGGTGGCCTAGTGGAGAGCATGACAGTTTCTGCCTCTCTGTGTCCCTTCATGCCTTTTGGGGAAGCTATGCTTCCTCAGGGAATGATTAAGTGAGTTTCTCTCTGTGTAGCTGTCTGTAGTAAATCCCTTAGAGCATGATGAATTAATTCAGAAATAATCCTGGAGTCATCTGAAGTATTAATATGATTAATGGACTCTGTATTAGAAAGTTTCAGGCCAGAGTCTGAAAAGGATCCMGGTGACTAAAGTGCAATTGAAAGTACTATGTAGTCAGGTACATGCGAGCAGAGACTCCAAAAGCCCTGCCTTGCTGCTTGGGTGCTGTGGCCCAAGGGCACCTGTGCTCCGGCTAGAAGAGCTGTGAAGGATCCTGAAGCTGCACTGGGCTGCCTGAGGTGTTGCAGACAGGGAGAAGCCCCTCTGCGCCCTGTTCCTTGAAAAGTCTTCTGGTTGTCCTCCCACAGATTACACAGTGCTTGACTTGCTCAGGGTGACTAAGACAGGATGGATAAAATGAGTTCAGCAAAAAGCCCAGAACTTGCAGCCCCTGTGACTKCAAGCAGTAGAAGGTTGTGGGAGGGAGCAGCATTGCAGAAAAACTTGGAGGCTGTTGCACTTCCTACAGAAGGTGAGGAAGGAGCTGGCAGTCACATTGCCCACTGGATGTGAAACTACTTTGGCTCTGGACCATGGGTCCCTGCTGCTGCTCGAGGGCCTCTTGAAGAACAGCTATAGTGATCAACAGAAACTCCATGGGGCCACCAAGAGTCTGCTGCTGTGGTGTTGCYACAGGAGATTTCCTCTAGGAGCATGTGGAGATCTTGTCCCTGGCCGGTGTTGCAGGAGCTTCTTCTGTGTTTTGTGTGAGCACTGGCAAAGCAGTGGCCTGATGCTCACACRAAACAGACCCCAGGACTATCTCTTGACCTTGCGTTGCTGTTGTGGTATTAGCAGTAAGTTCATTATTCCTTGAGGAATGATGCCCACATCTCATTCCAAAGCACATCTGTGCCAATAATTTTGTTTAATGATTTAGTCCTTTGGTGGTGCAATCTGAAGCTTTCTCAGGCTTTAAGCGTTCTCCCTTTTGGATGCTGCAAATCCTCACTCCGGGAGTATAAATACCTGTCACTGTACAGGGGATGTAAGCAGTCTTGCAAATGTTTCTCTGTTAATTGAGCATCACTTGTACTGTAAAGTGGAGCAGCCATCCTACAAGCATCAGGGCCTGTCAMCTAATGCTTAGA